GCAAAGGGTCAGGTCGGGGGGGGGGGAGAGAAGGAGGGAGGGGGCGCATCCCACCCATCGGACCCACCGCTGATCCGATTAGTGGCTCGGCTGATTGAACAGTTCTGGGCCTCGATGCGGAAGGTCGGAAGCGCGCTGCGATGCTTCTCTCCCGGCCCATGCCTCAAAAGGCCACGCCCCGCCGCGCCCCGCCACGCCCCGCCCAACCCCGCCATGCCCCGCCACGCCCCTTTTGTATTTGGCAACAGTTCTTTTAGTGTGTAGCCATTTATTTTTCACAAATAGTACAGTGAACAAAAACACCTTTAATCTATTATTTGAAAATCTTTGTACGAGTCTTTTTTTAAAGGGCTACGTCGCTAAGGCGCCGTAAACAGGTACGCAGGGGGGAAAACAACATTTCGTCTAATTATCACAGTTGGTTGTTGCTTCTTATGTGTTTGTTTGGGTACCAAACGTTTTGGATCAGTCTCTTCGCAGTGACTCTCTCCCTCTCTCCCGCTCTCCATCTTATTCTCTCCGCCTCAGGAGGTGGTGGCGAGGCCCGCGGCGTTCTCGTACCGCGGCGCCTCCACCAGCTGGAGCAGCGCAGCGTCTCCTGTAGGGGGTCAGAAACACGCGTTAGAGAGAGGGCTGTGCGATGTCTGAATTTGTCGAATCCCTGATGTCACGATATCGATACAACATTATCTTTCTATCGATGTCGTTATTGGGGTAGTGAGGGCCAAAAAGTCTCATCGACATGCCGATATATTGCCATATTTCTCGATACATTGCGACATTTTTCAATGGATTGCGACATGTTTCGATATATTGCCATATTTTTCGATACATTGCGACATTTTTCAATTGATTGCGATGTTTTTCGATGTATTGCGATTGCTCACCGCACGGCGGGCACAGCCGCTGCAGCTGCGGCTGCTGCTGCTCGTCGAAGTACTCGGGGTTGAGGACCATGCGCGCGTCCAGGTCGAGGTAGCCGGAGCCGCGCGCCAGCATGCCGTCCAGGATGGTGACGAGCTGGCTGAAGTGCGGCCGCTCCTGGGGCTCGGCCTGCCAGCAGCCCTGCATGACGCGGTGCAGCTCGCGGCTGCAGTGCTCGGGGCGCGCGAGCCGCTGGCCGGCCGCCAGCAGGGCCACCATGTCGTGCGGCGCCACCCCCGAGTACGGGGCGCCGCCCAGCGTGCACAGCTCCCACAGCAGCACGCCGAAGCTCCACACGTCCGACTTGCTCGTGTACACGCGCATGAGCAGCGACTCGGGCGCCATCCACTTGACGGGCACTAAGACAGGACAAAGAGTTTAATTTTCCGGTTATTTTGGGAATCTTTGCAAGACTTCTTTTTCTGAAAAGTTGTATTTTTTTCAAATTTCTTGAAATACTTCAATTTAAACATTTTGGGGGGCGGGGCGGGGATGTACAAATTTAATCAATCAATTGGTTTTGCACACATTGCTGAGTTGGTCTAAGCAATTTTGTGGAATCATTTATACAAAATCGTGCAAGTTTGCACTCACCTTTGCCGGCGCTCAGCTTGCAGTATGCCTCGTCCACGTAGACGTCCCTCGACAGACCAAAGTCCGAGATCTTGCACACGAGGTTCTCGTTGAGGAGGATGTTCCTAGAGGCCAGGTCCCGGTGCACTAGCTGCATAAGGGGAGGGGGGAAGGACGAGGAGGTTGGCGTTACAAGAGTTTGATAGTTGTTTACGTATTGGAATCAAAAACAGCGACAGTGAGGCCCATCGGTGCCCGTACCTTGAGTTGCCCCAGGTAGTCCATGCCCTTTGCGATCTGCCAGGCGAAGCCGATGATCTTCCTGGGAGTCATGGACGGCCTCTTCTCCTCGTCCCGCTTGTCGTCGGGGTCCTTGTTCTTGCGCTGCTCGTCGTCGTCCTCCTTGTCGCTCCAGCGGCAGCGGTGCAGGTAGCCCCGCAGCGAGCCCTGGCTGCAGTACTCGAGCAGCACGTAGAGCGGCCCGCTGGGGTCGGTGCACGCGCCCAGCAGCCGGATCACGTTGGGGTGCTCCACGTCCTTGAGCAGCTCCAGCTCGGAGAGCAGGTCGCGCAGCTCGGGCGACCCGGGCCCGGTGGAGGCGCGCAGGGTCTTGACGGCCACCGTCACCGAGACTGAAAGGCGCACCAGGGTGGCGTCAGAGTGTGCTTGAGCAAAATCCGAGTTCAAAAATATACCACTTAAAGCAAGGGCAACAATTTACTTCAAATGAGAAAGGATTGTTTTGGGTGTAGACGTAGGGGACCAAGGAAGGTACGCACCGTGGGTCTCGGACACCAGCTCGCCGCGGAGCACGCGGCCGAACTCGCCGGCGCCGATCTCCTCGTGCAGCGTGAGGCGGCCGCGGTGCACCTCCCAGCGCGGGTCCACGTTGCTGGTGCGGCGCGGGGGCGGGGCCGCCGCCTGCAGGTCGCCGCCGTCGTGCCGGTACACGCTGTGGAGCTGGTACTCGCTGCCGGCGCGCTCGGGCAGCCCTGGGGCGCGCTTGGAGCGGTAGCGGTTCAGGCAGTAGGCGTACAGAGGCACGCACGCCAGCGACACCACGATCACCGACATGATGGCCGCCTGGCAGCCGGACCCGCAGCTCTTCCGCAGCGACTCGGCCCTCTCCGTCGTTGTCGTCGAGTTGACCGACGAGTTCCCCGAGGCTGCCCGGGGGGGAGCAAGGAGAGACATCATCATCATCATGGCGGTTGGTATGGGGATTGTGTGTGCTCGGGGATGCACGGCGAAGATCATCACAAACCTTCATTTGTTTTCTGCTTTCTCATCTTTTTTTTGTCTTTGTGCGCAGTGTTTTTCCGGTCGGTTACTGGGAACAAATAATGGTTTGTGATGCTCCAGCATGTGAACTCGTTATTATTATTTTTTAAATGTTATTTTCTTACCGCATAATATTAAAATGAAAAGGTTACAAAAGGCATTTTCCGACTTACGTTTGTAAGGATAGCAAGCGCAGTGGTGATCGGAGCACTCGATCACCTGTGGTCCGTGGTCCAAGCACTTGCACAAGCCTCTCGCCTCTGCCTCGTTGCCCTTCTTCTCGCACTTCTCCCCCATCAGGACTTTCTCTGGAAACAGATGCGCGGACATAGGCGGCGTGGTCATGGCCAGGACGGTAAAGGAAAAGACAGGAGATGCATGAAGTGCGGCATGCGAGTGGAAAGCAAGTTCAAAGCAAAGAATTCCAAGTCAACGAAGAACGAATATAATTATGGAGACAATCGGAAGACTTACCCAGGCTGCAGTTGAAGTTGTGGGAAGCAAGAATATACGGTAAAGAGTGATTGCAAGCTGCAACCGGGCGGACTGGGCCCAAGAGGCATGCGAGTGGTGTCGTGGTGTATGTACAAATCCAGCTCAAACAAACGGGTGCAAAAGGAGAGAACAAAATAGGAGTCCCTATTTTTTCAACGTCTTTATTTTGAGGTCGTAAAACCGCTCGTCGGCAGACGAGTGCAAAAACTACCAGCATTAGGAATGCTTACAATCCTACTACATGACACACCCTAAGGTGTCTTACTCATCAACCTATCACACCTATGCTGCCTGTGAGGAGATCCTTCTTCAATAAGAACAATTATTATCATCATTATTATCATTAGTATTATTCTTAATATTAGAACTCATAAAGATACACATTTTGACAATATATTCCCCCCTCCCCTTACATATTCAAAACCGAGCACAGCCAAACATTTCTAAAAAAAAAACAAAAAAACTCCTCGCCCACCCCTTAAAACGAGAGCATATTCCAAAAAATAAAGTGAGGAATACAGAACAAATTACTAAGGTCTCTTTGGCACAACAGATTCCATTAGGTTCGAAAGAGAAGATACCGAACGTGCGCAGGCACAGTGAAGAATTCACCCGCAAGCCAAACAAGAGGGATTAACTATCGCAGCAGAGGCACCAGAAACTTTGCAAAATGTAAGAGAGAGAGATCACACTCGAACGATACGAGGGGGCCACCACTCCGAGTTAGGACGTACACAAAGATTACGTGATTACATTGATTACACGTGAATTTTTAGGGATTACACATGAATTTTGTTAAATTTCTGGGAATAAAACCATTGAAACCACAACATTTAGTGAAGTATTACACGGATTACATGGGGATTACACTTCCATCTGTACACAGGATTACGGAAGTGGTGGCCCCTCGGAACGGAAGCATGGAATTTGGCCACTCAAGTCTTGAGGCAGGAATGCAGGCTAGCAGCAAGTGTTTGACACGGTCTTTACAACTAGGAGCCGTGTGACACGCTCGAGGTTCCCGTTGCCGCCGAGACAACCACCGCTCGCCGGCAAGGGCGCCAAAATTTCAAAAAATCTCCGCCCTCTGGGACACCGGGAAGGGTATATAAACTCCCCTCGCCGGCCGGCGGACGTTCAAGCGGCGGCAACGGAGACTGAGTGTGGTCGGTCTTAACACGCACCCGTGCAGTCCTGGGGACAGACGTGCTCGCTCAGCGCCTCGAGCGGGTCGCACTCGCCGTCGGGGCAGGTGGGCAGGTGCGGCGAGCACGTCGCGAACGGCTTCGGGTCGGTCAGGACGGCCTCTCGCCACACGCACTCGCCCCGCAGCCCGCTGCAAAAGTGCAAAGACAACGGCTTTGTAACACGACTGAAACAGCCAAATAATCGCGTGTTCTGAATCTGTGGTGCATGATGCTCTAATAATGTACTGGCCTGCCGGATCCCGCGCCGCAGCCCGCGTGGCACTCCGCCTTGTTGAAGAACTGGCCGCAGGTGGTCTCGTGCGAGAGGGTGCAGTTGCGCGGCGAGTCCCCGCCGCCGGCCTCCAGGGTCACCGGGACGAGCAGGCTGCGGCCCTCGTCGTCGAGGATCTGCACGACGACGCTGTGGATGGAGCACACGACACGGCGAGGTCAGTGGCTGCATTTCACGGGGAGGGATTTTAAGGACAGACGTTTTACAGGAAATAGTGGAAACTTTTCCAGAATTTTTTTTAAAAAGCAATGACACCTTACATTACACATGTATACTTATGTCTAGTCATGTTTAGTGTAAGTGTAAGGTCGTAAGGTATCATCTGCTAAAAATTAAATATTTCCAGAATAACTGGAGAAAAATTGAACTTTTCAGCAATAGAACAAGAGATCATTAAAAACAAATATTCTATAGGAAAATTTCCGAAAATTTCGCAATAATCCATTTCTCGAAAATTAAAGTCTCTTAGTACAACCTAGGTAAGACGTGCACTCACCGAGCTGGGCTCTTCTGCTGCTGCAGCAGGCTGCGGTTCTGCACGTAGAGGATGCCGGCCCGCTCGGTGACGTTGGCCCAGGCCGGCGGCTCGGAGCCCAGGCGGTACGCCCTGCCGTCGCCGGCGCGGCCGACCTGCGCCACGCGGGCGTGCTGCGCGGCGTGCGTCCACAGCGTCACGGGGGCCGGCTGGCCGTCGGCGGAGGTGGCGGCCAGCGCCACCGGCTGCAAGAGAGAGAGCCGCGCCGTCAGCGTAGGCAACCCATCCGGCCCCCACGGGGCCACCGGTCCGGTCAGATGGCGGGGCGGGTGGCGGCGTGTTGTTCAAGTGCAACGCGCCGAGTTAATGATAAAGTATAAAAACGTTTGCGATCGTAAACGAGCCCCGAGAGCACGCGCGTCAGGGCAGTGTTGTAAAACGTAAAAGCCAAAGACTTCTGCCTGCTTTTGCTGAAGCACTTGCACGCGCTCACGGAAAATGGCCTCTTAATGAACCAGGCAGCTCTGCCGTGCTCGCCGCTCTTACCTTATCTGGCACCGCGTTCTCCTCCCCTTTCTGCAGTGTCTTAATCTGCAAGACAAAATATTATAATTAGCCATCCGCAAAACAAAATCAAACAAAATTAGTACTTGTATTTAAAGTTACTCTAGTGGTCTCTGTGCGAATAGAAACTGCGTGGTCACGAGGTCAATGGTCAAAGGCCAAAAGGAAAAAAGAAAACGTAGCAGTTGACGCATATTGCGACATCAATAATTAAATGCCGTGTCGGCAGTTGGCCGGGCAGGTGACAGACCTCGGTGCCGGGGGCGGCCGTTGGGGTGCCTACCTCGCGGGCGCGCCTGCGTGTCCGGGGCTTGTCGGCCTTGTCCTTGTCGCTGCTCGACATGGCGACGGGCGGCGTGAGCGGCGGGCCCCACAAGGTCGCCGTCAGCTTGAGCTGGCGACAAAGGAGATCATCGTGAGCGTACGAGTTAGGAAGGTATCGGAAGTTACGCAGATTGACATTTTTTCCTGATTGCGGGCTAATTTGATTTCATGCCACGCGTCTCTTTGGACTTTCGATTTTTTTTCTGTAGACGCTGCGGTAAAGTGACCGAACACGATGTAGGCCTCTTTGCATCGTGTGACCCAACTAGGACTACGTTACCAAGAGGAATGCATTCATCAGCGCCTCGAAAACATTATCACTCCCATCCTTAAGTTAAAATAATGGATAGTATCGTCGAGAAAATTACCCCACCCCACCCTCCCCTCAAAATAACGTAGTTGGAGCAGGAGTCATCTACCTCTCTCTTGCTCTCGTCGAGCAGGGTGAGGTCGGTGAGCGTGAGGGTCACGTTGTACTTGGTCGCCATGGGGTCCTTGACCTGCAGCCGCACGCTGACCACGGTGTGCGGCACGCCGCCGTGGCTCACGTCGAACTCGAGCTTCTTGCTGGTGACGACGCCGCTCGGGTCGTCGACGGCGAGGTCGCTGAAGCGGTTGGCCGCGCGGGAGTCCATGTCCTTGACGAGGATGTGCGCGCCCCGCGCCAGCGAGGCCTCGGTGCTGAAGTTGAACTCGAGTCGCTCGTCGGGCTTCTCGAGCTCCGGCGCGTTGTCGTCCTCGTCCAGGACGACGACGCTGACGTTGCGCTGCTCGACGACGCCCCAGGACGTGCGGCACTCCACGGCCAGGACGACGGCGGGGCCCGGGCCGCCCTGCGCGCCGGCCACGGGCACCACGTCCCTGTCCAGCATGGCGCGGCTCCAGAGCTCAGAGCCGCGCACCTCGAAGTGGTCCGTGCCTGTGGGCAGCAACGGGTCACGGGGCTTGAGAACCATACGCTGCATGTCTAACGAGGAAGATTTCTCGAATACTTTTGGAAGATCTGGAACACTTTTGGAGTATCTGGAACAGTTTTAGAATATCTGGGACACCTTTGGAATATTTTTCAGTGTGTACATGCAATATCCAATTGGTTCATACGCTCGACATCTACGCGCAGTATATTTTTAGAAGCGTTTTCCTATCTCTCTTATTCCGCCTAAAGGGACGCATAGTTGTTATCACGACGAAAAGTTAATGTGACGTTTCTTGAAAACAGACGGGGGAAAGACACCCCACCCTCCCAAAAAATGACGCGTGCGTGAATATGTCAGTGGTGTGCGTAAAAGACTTAGTTAATGTGTTGGACGGAGGTTTGAAGTCCAGTGGACTTCCAGTGTTCTGTCTCTCTCGCAGCTCAGCGCAAACCACCAAGTGGCTTCTCTCTCGCACCTTTTTAGGAAAATGGCACTTATTGGACCAAGTAATAACTTCATTAAAATCTTCGTATTTATTGCCTCATGGCCTCTTTCCCATGAAATTTACATCAAGGAGGAGCTACCTCAAACGAGGAGTTGTTGACTCTGGTCGTCGCTCTTATCGATTTACAGCGACCTGACCAGCGCGGTCCCGGCCGGCGGCCCCTGCGCGTCTGCCCGCCTGTGCCTCGGAGCCGGTCGCGCCCTCTGTCGGGGGTGGGGCCTCTGGAGGCGCAGGGCGCGGTGCCGCGGCCCCCCGCGGGTGGCGCCACCGGTCGGTGGGGAGGCGCCGGGCGCAACAGCGCCAGCAGCAGCGATGTCAGCCAGGCCGCCCGCCAGGCCGCCCGCCAGGCCGCGCGGGGGGCGCGGATACACCTCTCCTCGCGGACTCTAAGCGTCTCCGGCACGCACGATCACGGTGGGGGGGGGGGGAGCCCGTAGCCCCCCGCGTGGTGCCCGCGACCCCTCTGCCAGCCGCGGCCCGCGGGCGCTCGTATCTCGCGGGCGACCCCCTCCTAAGCGACCCTAAGCAGCTGTCTGGGCCTCTGAAATTTGGCCCTCCCAGCACCCCAGCAGATGAGTTGCGTAATCCGCTAGGCGGTCTGTGTCAGTCCGGAATAAGCCGGGGGTTGTCCAAGGATTACCCTGGGATTGTTTCAGGCGTTATCCAAGAGTAATCCACAGGTGCGGATTAAAGTTCGGCTGACAGGGGGCGATGCACTGTCGGTTGCCGACATTCAGGGGTTTTGTGGCGCGCATTGCCTTCCTTTCGGGCGGCTCTCTAGAGACCACAGGGGAGCGATAGCCCCCGCCCACTGTAATCCGCGCCTGGTAATCCATCTGGTAATCCGTGGTATAATCCCGGTGTGATCCGGTGGTTTGGTTATTCAAAGTAATCAGGAGGTAATCCAAGAGCGTGATCCGGGGTAGTCCGTTGAACACGACGAGTATGTCAGAGTCGTTTTCCCCTTTCGGTTCGCACCGGCCGGGCCCTGCGACCCCGACCTCGACGAACGCTGCTTGTGATGGAGGGGTCGAAAACCCCTGAACGCCCAGTCTCAATAGTGACCCACTTATCTGGCTCCGGGGTCCGTTTGGCACGTGGGCAGGACCTGCAGGCATGCATAGCGAGCGTGGAGTGCCCGCCCCGCGCTGGGTGAGGGTGGGGGAGGGGGTCACATCGAACTGCCCCCCCCCCCTCCCCTTTTCCGTGCACTTATGCAGCTACAACAGTTGCAGCTAGCCGATAGCTCGCACGCATATGTACGGATGTATGGCAGTATGGCGACGAAATTCGACCGAAAGCAGGTCGGGGGAGGGGGAGGGGTCACGAACCTCTGCTTAGGAATACAGGGTGGGCGATCCGCGCCGTCTTTTGAAAATGCCTATACTGTAACGGATTCTTACGTACGTGTTGCATACTCGCACGGCGCCGTAAGGCGCCCTGGCGAGCGACGGTAGGCAAGGCCGCCCGCACGCGTCAATCCGGTACAGTATAAGCATTTAAAACAGACGGCGGTGATCACCCGCCCCGTAGTATCCTACTGAACAATCATGCTCCCTCACGCCTCATAGAGGACGTTCCTCCCGAGGCCATGCCGACCCTCACTCACCGCTGAGCAGCTTGTACTGGTGCTGGTCGCCGCACTGCAGGTCGGCGTAGCGGTGGCCGAGCGGTGCCAGCATCGTGGCCTGCTTGTTCTCCCAGACCTGCAGCTCGGCGCGCTCCCAGAAGCACGAGTCGTGGCAGTAGTGGCACGGGTCGTCGCGCGCCACCTGGTCGCCCTCCTGCATGCCGGCGAAGGGGGCACAAATGGTCACGATACAGAGGTCGACAGAAAAAAAATTAAAAGCCATGAAAATGGCCCGGCGAGAAAATACCGGGTGTAACAGTGAATGCGCAGCAGTGTTGCGGGATTGCATACCCGCCACACCCAGAAAACCGTTTCTTTCTGGGAAAGAAATTTTATTACCCATGACGGAAACCTTTCGTAGCTAAAATCAACAACAGTTTTTCGTTGGAACGACGACAAATTTTCGTTGTTCCAACTTTTTATGTCTTTAAACTGAAAAATTTCGTTGAGCTAACGAAAATTTTATTTGTTACAACTAAAATTTTGTTGATTTCAGCTACGAAAAGATTTCGTTCGCACAAAGTAGTGGTTTTCTGGGTGCAGAGCTGCAGGTGCAGGGGCCATGGCGCCTTAAGGGCGAATTGTGTAGGCAATCCCGCAACACTGCTGCGCATTCACAGTTACACCAGGTACAGGTACAACAACTGATTCTGGGGCGCACCTTCTTGTTGACGCAGGGCCGGTCCTCCTGCACCAGCTCGAAGGTGATGGTGATGTTGATGCGCGCGCGCTCCGCCGGCACCATGAAGGGGCGCGCCGAGCGGTGCGCCGGCGCCCTGGCCGCGGCCGAGCCCCGCGCGTCCAGCCACACGACGTGCTGGCGGCGGGCGCCCGCGTCGCTCAGCACGCCTGTGTGTGTGTGAGCGAGTGTGACGTCAGGAGG